CTGCAAGTAAAAGATAACAAGCCAAAGTAGTTCTTATTTTACTTTGGAGATATCATTCCAAAATAAAATTTGTACGGTGTAGATATTTTTTTCCTTATAGATAACAAGTCATATTAGCAACGTATGCTGATTGTATTCTTTATGGAGGGTAAGACTAGGCCACATTTCGGGTGCATACTTGCAAGCTCAGGTGTAAATCTAAACACTATCTGCCATCTTTTTTTAGATTTTGTGCATAACATGTCTCCTTATCTATTAATTCGTTGTGTTGGTTGATTTTGTTTAGCAGAATATCAACACATCTATGTATTATTTAATGCGGAAATCTAAATATTTTGAATTGTATGTCTTCAACTAGATATAAAATATATCTTTAGTCATTTTGCTTTAAATATGTATTGTTGGTCATTTTGCTATGAATTTGTATTATTGAAAATTTTACTATAAATTTGTATTGTTGATCATTTTACTATAAATTTGTATTGTTGGCCATTTTACTATAAATATGTATTGCTGGTAATTTTTATATAAGAATATATTGCTGGTATTTTTACCATAAAAGAAATATTTTTATACCTTCATAGTGTTTTGTTTATTTTTGGGGGGTTCGCTATTTGCTCATAGCCGGGACCCCAACTAAAATGTAATTAAATTGTTTTCTTGTTTTATTTATATTCCAGCGATAATCAGCATGTACATCGGCTAGATATTATTCCAAATAAAAATTTGTACGGTGTAGAAAATCTACACCGTACAAATTTTAATTTGGAATAATATCTACAGAGTAAAATATATTTCTACTTTGGCTTGTTATCTACAAGGAAATGATACCAAACAAAATTAGCACTTGTTTTACTATGTAAATATAATTCCAAACTAAAATTTTTATGGTGTAGATATTTTTCTTGTAGATAACAAGCCAAAGTAGCATCAAGCGAATAGCGAATACTTTAACAATGCCTCGAAAATATACTCGGTACTGAAACAAAGAAACAATAATTGTGTCTCTTCTTAAACAGTTTCAATATTTCTTTAATATTGTATTCCTTCTCGTAGGACTGAGTAGAGAACCGCTATTTATGTTCATTTTGATTTGATTACAGTAAACAGAAAAAGATCTGAATTGTATTAACAATTTGGCCCAAAATATTTATAAATGACGGCTTCTATTAAGTTCAATGTCACATGGACTTAAAATGCTTTTAATTTATTGACATTCTCTACTTGTCAAAATGAACTTATCGGAAGATGAGTATTTTTTGTGAGAGTTTTGACAACTTGCATATAAGGAATCTTTTCAGGAATCAAGTTTGTCGGGGTCCTACTTATACTGCAGTCATAGCGGCACTGATGTGTTTAGGGCAAGATAACCTGACAGGGCTCATCACTCTTCAGGCTCTTTTTTTCTTCTTCTAGACTAGTTGGCACCTCAAGACAATAAGGGTTCAATACACTCAGCTATTTAACATATGTTGTAGCTGAGAAGAGATCAATTCATACTTTTCCTAAAGCTATTTGTACAAAAGTGAATCGGATAAAATACGCTGAAATTCAATAGGCTTACCGATTTCTCTTTCTGATTCGTTAACCATTACACTAACTGCGCACCTTTACACTCCAAAAGAAATATTGATATGTACATAAAAGGTGATGAAAGATATTTCAGTACGGACCATTTCTCAAGTTCTTGACTAATGATCTATCAGATTTTTTTTTTTGCTTTTTGAAGTCTGTCTTGCTTGAGTTGAGAACGACAGGGGATTGAAAAGTAACTCCCTATTATATATATATGATGGAATCTGCCGTCTTGTAAAAATTATAGTTAGACGGGAGAGTCCATGGGAAGATTAAGTTAGTTGATATTAAAGAAATGAAGTTTCCGGATGAATTAAAATCTATTTAATTATCTTCGAAGGGAAACAACTCAAATAAATCAATCTCGACGGATTATGTTCGATATTTGGAAATTTTAAATTAGCAAATAATGTAATATTGATTTCTTTGGCAAATTTTGGATTTTAACACTTAAACACCACGCATTATCAAATGATAATTCACTGGGGATTAGTGGATATTATCAACAGAGAATAAAGATAAGCGTCCTGTGCATGACGATAAACTGCATCCGGCAACAAGGTCTATGAACCGGGGTAGTATCACCTGTTAGAGTCCCAGCTATGGGCAAATAGTTAACCCCAAAAATGTGGTGAAAACATTATGTAAATATATTTTTCGTAACAAAAATACCAGCAATATATTTGAAATTACAGCAATACATTAGACTCTCGACAAAACCCCTGTTTCCAAAAAATACTTCAATGAAACTTGATCTTCAAACTGATTTCTTACACGTAATACATATTCTATTCATACGAATCTATTCTAAAAATTGTGTCGGCATTAAATAACCCATTGAGATGTTGATATGCCGTAAGACAAAATAAACCGAATAAACTAATCCAAAGATAAGTGTACTAATTAGTCTAAAAAACTAATTGGG